ATTCCGACTGTTCATAACTCGTTTTTGTGACGGCGTAGTTCACTACGGTGTTGGCATCAAAACCGTATTTTGTATTCATAATTCAGGGATAAATACGTTGGGGAAAAGTTTGACCGAATTGAAGAGTTACTCATGACTTAATATAAATGGGGTTTGGTATTAGTATTCCACTGATTTTATTAGACTCATTTTAAGTTGTTGAATTAATCTGACCAAGATGAAACACTGGTTTAAGTTTACACCGAAGTCTCGTAAATTGTAAATGTGTTAGAAACAAATGCCGTTATGACTTCACTGACCTTAATCACATCTGAACTACCTCATTTTCTTTGTAAAATTTTAACAATGCCAGATTTAGATGAAAGTGTTTACAACTTAGGTAGGCATTGTTAATGGTTACGTCATAGCTTCTGAATGTTGACTGTACATGCCTACACGAATATAACATGAATACTGCAATAATATTCATACCACTCGAGGATTTTGTATGCGTTGACCTTGTTGCTGCATTATATATTGTTGTTGATGCTGATCACCGTAATTCATTGCGCTGTGTCACAAATAAATATATCGACACTGCAAACACTGAATTTCAGTACTGATTTCAGATGAACAATTGAGCAACGGACTATGGCAGTATGGAATTGTCAGGTAACGGTCACCGGACTAGACCAGAAATCACCAGGCCAGACCAAGAATTACCGGATCCAGCGTTTGCGCAATGCATTTATCGGTATTGCTACTTTGGTCCCACAAGTCTTGGCCCGGCGATTCCACACTCTCATTATCTTTCACAATAAATAATGCATGAATATAACTACGTGATTGTGCTAATGGTAATCGTGCTGTGAGGTAGTTCAACCACATGACCCTAAAAACCGATCATTCAAAAAGATATGGCAAGTACCGCAGACCGATTTCATGAAACGCGACCACCGTCTCTATCCACATCACCCATTCCCAGCTGCATTTAAAAAACAAATCGTAACGTCCAAAAAAAAACATACTGCTACCACTTTCTCTATTTCAAAGAGTGGCAACCTTGCCGGTTATGCTATGTCACACTTCGCCATACAAACACGCCTGAGAGTAGGGGCGGGATCAGCCAGGAGCATGTGTTGCGCTTTAGTCATCGAAATTTATACTAATGGTGCATCGGGAAAGAACCGTTTAATGCATTGTAGAATGATTGGAATAATTACGACCATTTATTAGGAAATGAAAACATCCATCACATGAGTCTCCATGCATCGAAAAGTATTTTATTAGCGGTCTCAAAGTAGAAAAATGTCAGGCAAAAATGAGAGTCGTGCATATAATTATGGATTCACAGGAACGACACTCGCATTTCTTGACACGCATTGATCAGCTCGATTACGGAGACGAAACACGACAAAGCTGAACCGAACAGCTTTTTGCCTGCAGTAATCATAACGAGCAATATGAGAAATCGCTTTGTCAAATTGCACTTCTCGACGTATAGTTTTAGATAACATCGGTATTTACCACTGCGGGTGCGTTTATCTGTTCTCAGGGCTGCAACGCCATTGTGCGAGGTATTGACATAGTGCAATACCGATTCGCAGATGCTTATTGAGCGTTCGCAGCTAGGTCAGGGTTTAGCGAGCTTACACCTTGAACCCGAGCCCAGGCAATAGTATGAGAACATGCGGAATTCCACATGCCCGAATCCGCGGGATTCAGTCCTCATTTTCGAGCCGAACCTGACCTTGTGGGATTCAGGTACGACATCCCGATCCCGAGCCCGACCCCATGGGTTTCAACAACGATAGAATTTATGTGAATAAGAATAGTTCCTAATCAGAACATGACGAGTGGATGACAGTGAGTTTCAGCATTGGTCTGTTCTTATCTGTTACAATATTGTGAAAATGGTTATATTTGTATAAAAAATAATTATTTCGTTTATATTGCAGAATTTGTAATAATGATAATAATAACAATAATAATAATAATAAATGACAAGAAGAACAATAAGAAGGTTAGTCAACAAGCTGTCAATCGATGTCGTTGACAAAATGCCTTTTTAACTGATCACAAGAAGTTGACGCGAAAAAGGTTGCATACATTGGTATGTACGCAGTCGGAATTGAATTAGAATTGCATCATCAATAATAAATCTGACTGAATGATGTTAGTGACAAAATAACTGACGAAACATTGAATAAGGTCACCGGAGAAAGCGGAAAATATGACGACGATCGTGAATGAGATTTATTGTTGTTCTCATTGCTGCTTTTATCATTTATTATTATTATTATGTATTGTTATTATATGTTATTATTAATGTTATTATGATGTAGCTAGTGTTATTAGTCAATCTGTATCACAATTTTACTACTGCTGTTCGAAGTAACTCTTAATATTATCATTATCACGATATCGTTACTTTATTAATACTACCATTACTATCACTCCTCCGTTTATCAGCAAGATTGCAGTTGAAAATTTATGTGTAATTCAATTTGTCATCAATCTGACTGAATGATGTCAGTGACACTACGAAGTTCGCTTTTATTCCGGAAACCAGTCAACCTGAAACCGTATAAAATTTCTGGATTGATTCTCAACGGAAGAACACATCAATTATTTAGACTCTTTCCTGATGTAGCTGGATTGTGTTTCGATATTTCGGTATCATCCATCATTCTTGAAATGCTGATTACCTCTCATATCTTTGTTTATTTCTGCTCCTTTATCTCGTTTATAAGGCCGTTCACATCTCTCTGTTATCCTAATAGTTGCTCTCTGTTTGTCTATCTATTCCCACGCGACGCAGTCGTGACTCCACCCTTCTGCAACTGACACGCGTTTATAGGGAAGTGGGTGCAAACCGCCATATCGACTGTTCTAGCAGAGCTGATAGATTGAGTTTTGTAATTTTCTACTGG